ACAGGCATATTCAGCACCTAACCTGAAAGGATCAGGTCAAAGGCACTGATCAAACAAAATTTTACTCAAGAAACTTCACTTGTTTTTCAAAGACAATGGTAATTAATATGATAAAACCAAACTTTAGAATTATTCAGAATTATTAAATACCAGCTAAATAATTTCTCTTAGTGTTAAAACATTGGTAATACTTTCCTTGGGGACAAATCTCACCCCCCTCTCTCTCATATATTCACATCATATTCCCACTGAACAAAAATATAATCTAATACAATGATCTAAAAATGATCATTATGACTTTCTCCAAAGTAGTGAGAGACTTCTTTGAAACCTCCAACCATTTCTCTTTATTACAGCAGGGCAAAGTAAAATACAGGACCTTCTAATCCCTATTTAAATGAAAATACTCATGGCAGTGGGTGAGGGATAGGGAATCACGGATGACAAAAAAAAAAGTATACAAGACATAAGAAATGGAAAATTATTTGCTGATAATGTATATACTGATGTGCTTGATTGAGCCAATATACAGTGTATTTTGGAAGGGAAATTCATTTGTATACTGTAATGATGTATAGTGAATTAATGTAAAAAATAAATTTAAAAAGAAAAAAATAAAATAAATTTAAAAAAATGAAAATACTGAAAATCGCATTGCCCTTGAATGTCTTGTCCAACTCTAAACAGCAGTAGAAGCTTTCCCATCAATAGCTTCTTTTTGCAATTTATTTCTTTATTAACACCCCCTTACCTCACTATATTTCTTACTACCTTTTGGATTAAACATAGTAATATATGCTCTAACCCCAAGAAGATTTATAACTAAGTCTCCTACAGAAAATGTTACATATTGAAAAGTCATTCCCCAAAATGGGAAGATATTTAATGAAAGGCCTTCATAATAGCCAATGTGCTATACCAGTTGAGCTTATTTTAACATCTACCTTTTAAACAACAGAGCTAAACTAGCATAGTTAGATCAATGTCCCAGTGTACAATAATAGCTGAATTCATTTATACCAAATGACTAACAAATTAGACAGTCTTTGTTTTGAGGATGCTGAGGCACCTGAGTCACAGATGCTCAATGCCACGTTACTTCCTGCTACTTTCTTTCTAGTTCAGAAAACAGACTTACTGTTTATGACTACAAGCTAGGAAAGTCAAAAAACTCGTAGTATGTATTTAAACAACAGCCAAATTACCTGGGTCCTAACTAATATAAAAAAAAAAATTAAATCTAATACCAAAATAAAATTAAAATAACAACAAACCATTGAGAGTAGGCTAGTCCACAGTACAAGGAAATAAAAAGATAGCACTCATAAGGAAATCTACTGACAAGGCATACTCAGAACTGGGAGAATCCAAATAAAGGCTTTCCATTTAAAACAATATGAACGGCCAATTCAGAAGTAGCTATGTACAATTTCTTACTAAGAGTACACATACCACCAACAATAAAAAAGAGAAGCCAAGCTGAGGCAATGATTTTCCAAACATAATCCAAGGTTTATGAAGATTCACCAGAGCTGGCTCTGTGGCCTGGTGGTTAAGGCAGCTGGATTCCACACAGCCAATAGCACAGTCTGAGCAGTTGAGTCCCAGATTGAGGCTTGAAAAACATGCCAGACGCAAGTGCATGTATGCCCAAGATCCTGAAAGGAGGGAAAGACAGAGGAGAAGAGATCGAAGCATGACCATTTTCTATAAGGGTTGCTTTCTTTTCTCCCACTCTTTCTCCAGTGGGCATAAGCACCATCCAGCACCAAAAAAAAAAAAAAAAAAAAAAAAAAGGAAGGAAGGAAGGAAGGAGAAAAAGGAAAAAAAGAGAAAAAATCCTCTACAAATGCTATCTTATCTAAAGGGTAAGAGCTAACATCTTGATTAAGTTCTGGGCCAGAAAAAGACAAAAAGTATAAAGAATTGGAAAATTTTTATTCTTACAGTGAGATGAGTGTTGAAAAGTATCAGGTGCCATGTGACAGCACTGGGCCATGTTACTACGATGCTGATCCTCCCACTGATAACTGAATAATTAGACCTAGGTTGGCTGGCTAGGGCCCAGGGTAAAAGAAGCTATCTCCAAACAAGTGGAAGACATATACTGGAGAGTGGCGGTGTACAGAATAATTAGGGCATATGAAAATAAATGGTACATCTATAGTCTAAAACACTGCTATGGAAAATGTCAGAGTCCAGAGGAAACCCCAGGGAAAGGATAACATCAGTTTAAATGCCATCTTTCTTACACAGTAAGCCACCATAATTTGATCATTGCTATTTTATTATTTCCTTGGAAAAAATTTATAAATTTTGAAAATATCAAAACTATCACTTTATAGCTTACATACAAATGATTTTTATATTCACGATTCACGTTCTCATCTTTGATCCTCAAAACAGGTACATGCCCACCCTTGGTCCTCAGATCAACCATTACTGGGATTCAAACTGAATGCTTTCTAACAGTAAGGATGAGAGGGATTTACTGGTGTTTCTTGTATCTGAAATATCTGTTCAGGTGGGGCCAGCAGGTGGCGTAGTGTTAAGGCTCTGTACGCCCACATGGTTGACCTCGGTTCGAGTGAGTCCAAGATCCAGCAGCTTATATCCCATGCCAGGCCACGTGTGTGTGTGTGTGTGTGTGTGTGTGTGTGTGTGTGTGTGTGTCTAAAATCCAGAGAGGAGAATGACGAGGAGAGGGGAGGAGGAGCAGCCAGTGGCATGGTGATTAACAGTTAGATTCCACATGGCTGACTGTAGTTTAAGCCCTGGATGTGGTAGCTTGAAAAACATGCTGGACACATGGGAATGTGTGCCCAAAATCCTGAGAGGAGAATATAGAAGAGGCTATGGTGTAGTCATCTCCCCAGGGGTTAGGAAGGGGCCACTTTCTCACTTCCTTTCTCTCTTTCTCTCTCTCTCTCTCAGGCAAGTACACATGCCCTATATCAAAAATTTTAAAAACAAAGTTAACTATCTATCAAGCTAACAAAATGAAATCAACATTCATTATTCAGTATCAGAGTCATACATACGTTCATTTGAAGAAAACGGCACATAGTAAATAATTAATAGCCCCAACCCTGGTGACACAGTCAGTAGCATAAGCAAACTGCAGTGCTAGAAGCAAAATGGCTGACCATGGGTTCAGCTCCCCAGCCCAGCTGTCCAGAAACACACCATGAAACACACTGGGTATGGGCACACATGCCTGAGATCCTGAGGAGTTGCCTGGCTAGGAAAAGGGACTGCGGTCTGATGAGAGCCACTGAGGGTACATTTTTGTCTTTCTCTCTTGTACATATACATATGAGCCTCCACATACTATCATGAATAAACATTTTAAAAATTACATCATTTTCAAATTAGTAATTGATTACAATAAGAGTTCATATTTATGTTTTAAGTACTTTAATGACATAAGTGTTTTATTTGGGTACAGATGGTATTTTATTATCAAAGTTAAACACTGTAAAACTAAAGAAATGTGTGGGTCTTCTCTAAAATTTTTTGAAGAAACGAATTAGTGTCCAAGAGTAAACTCAGCACTGGCTCAAAATATCATCTGCCTTTTCCTTGCTATAATTAAAGTACAAGTTTATCCTAGTGGGAAAATATGTTTAATTCCTGCATGAACATAATACCCACTGTTCATGAACTTTTTGGAATCCCTTGCTAAATAAAGCATACAGAGCAAAGTAAGTACCCTACTCTATAACTGTTAATTAGTGTTAAGATAATTTACTTAGTTTTTATTAACTAACAAGAGGGCAGATGTGCACTGGAGAGATGGTGGGAGGAGGGGAGAGAAAGAGAGAGAGAGGAAGAAAGCGCCCACCCATGAGCATGGTTACACCGCAGTTCTTTTCCTCCATTTCTCCTTCCCATCTGTATTTTGGGCAAGCATGCACATGTGCCCAATGTGTTTTCCAAGTGTCCAAGGCTGAGATTTGAATTTTAGTTGGCCATGTGGGATCCTGTTCTTGATGCACTACACTCAACCACTATACTAAAGCGCCAGCCTTAAAATAATAAGTATTCCTAATAAATTTTATCTTATTATACTTAGTCCAATACTCCCTGATAGCAAGATCCTTTTCCATTCTAATTCAGCCAAAAAATTAGTTACATGCTTATTTATTGCCACCCATAATTCCAATGCTTGCCCATGTGATCACCACAGGAGCCACTGTCATCCCAGTGGAACAGAACCTGCCATTAAACCTATACTGTAACATGAGTCCACTTATAACCTGCCATGTGAGCACCTGGGCATGTTATTCGGTACTCCTTTGCAGGAGGAGGCACATGCAATTAGATAAAGTCTCACAGTGTTACTGGAAGAAAAGTTGATGCACGTATTTACATAAAGTGTACATGCCCATTTTTCCAGAAGGGGAAATGGAGTCTTAGAGGCTGAGTAACATCTGTATGTGTTAGCAGCACTTGGGCATCTTAATATTTTAACTAACGAGCAAGATTCAACTTGCCCTGTTAAGTTTTAGAGGGACTGAAAGATTAAACTATTAATATATATAAATCTATGTCAATGAAAAGCACTATTACACAATAAGGTAATATTATCTTCCCAAAGAAATTATGCTCATGTTCAGTACTATAAATAATAGCAGCTTCTTTTAGTATTGCTGCTTCAGAGACTGGAGGAAAACTCTACATCATTGGGCAAATTTGAATCTACAGCATTAAATGTATCCAAAACAATCTTCAAAATATGTCTAAGATTACATCAGACTATGAAAATTATCCAACAACTACAATCTTTCTCACATGGCCTGCTTGCCCCATATACCTCCAAGATTTAGAAAAGATGTTCTGAAATGAGGTTTTTGATAAGACATACCTATCACAAACAAAAACATAATTCAATGTTTCAGAAAGATGCCATTAAACTTCCCACAAACAAACCTGTACACGGTCAACTTCAGCATCAACTCCATACACTTACAAACATACTGTTTTCCTGTTGGGCTTACCAGATTCACTGTTTATCAAAACACTGAGAGGATCTGCGTTTGCCTCAGGTAGATCTCCTGGCTTCGAGTCACCCAAGTGATCGCCTGATCCAGTGATTACTCTCTGTTTAGCACTGTCATTTTTCCATTTGTGATGTTTGCCAGGACTTCTGATTTTTGCCATCTGTGAATGTCTGGACATCCCCTTCATCTTGCTGGAGTAAGAAAAGTGAACTTCTTAGTACAAAACATTCAAGAAAAGTTTGAAAAAGACTACAAGATACAGAAGAAACCTAGTTGCCAAATAAGGCACTTACCTTCTAGTACATTAGAGAGACCAAAATAAGAAATTCAGTGGTTTCCCAAAGACAGAGAACCCTGTTACAGAACTTTAAAAGAACAACCTATAATACACACTGCACACCTCATTATAATTTCTTCTTTTTAAGGTTTGTCATAGGGTGCTCTCTCATCTGTAGTTTTCATAGACACAGAATTATGTATGGTAATATAATATATACTGCTTTGGATTTAGAGCAAGGTAACAAAATGCACCTTAAATAATTGTGGAGGGGACCAGCTGTTGGCATAATGGCTATGTCGCTGGAGTACCATGTAGTCGAATACGGTTCAAGTCCTGGGTCCAGTGGCTTAAACTCACGCCGGGCGGGTGTGCATGCATGCCCAAGACCCGAGAGGAGAATGGAAGAGAAGAGATTGTGATGTGGCCATCCCCGCTGGGGCGTGATTTCTCGCTTTCTGTTTCTCTGTCCTTCTCTGTCTTTCTGGTGACTGCATGCACCTTATAGCAAAAACTTCTCAAAAGAAAAAGAGTTGTGGGCAAGCAGGTGGCATAGTGGTTAAGGTGCTGGACTCCCATGTGATTGACTATGGCTCAAGTCCTGGACCTGGTGGTGCACGCTGGGTGTGTGGGCATGCATACATGCTCACGATAAAGAAAAGAATGGAGAAGGGACTAAGGCATGGCCATCCCCTAAGGGGGTGATTCCTCATTTTCTGTCTGCCTCTAGCAAGTGCATGTGCCCTATAGCAAAAATCTCTTTAAAAATAAAAATAAAGAAAGAGAGTTACTATGATAACATTTTCTAAATAATTTGCTAAACTAACAAATTATTTATGTTAGAAATTTGTTTTAGGGTTATGGAGAGAAAGAATCACAGAAAGAAATCTCATTCCAAAATAGATGTATACTCCAAATTTTGTAAGACAGATCTCCAATGTCCATTCACAGATGTCAGACTAAGAACTTAATAGTTTCATTGGAGATAAAACAGATAGAGTTCTGCCTCTGGCTCACTATTCCCAGGAGGATAATGAAGAGATGCCACCTTCCTTGAGTTCCCAGTCACAGATGCCGTCTCTGCACTCTGTTAGCATCTGACCACAGCTGACTTTTGAATGGTTGTCACCTTTAGGATATTCACTAATAAGTCACAAAAAAAGGATGACCCTTAACTGATGAGATCAAGAAATCATCGAGTAGCGTATCTTTTTTTTTTTGGAGAGGTTTTTGTTATAGGGCACGTGCACTTGCCAGAAAGACAGAGAGAGACAGAGAGACAGAAAGCGAGAAATCACCCCCCAGGGGGGATGGTCACATCACAATCCCTTCTCCTCTGCTCTCCTCTCAGGATCTTGGGCATGCACGCACACGTGCCCAGCGTGAGTTTTAAGCCACCGGGTCCGGGATGTGAACCGCAGTTGACTACATGGGAGTCCAGCGACATAGCCATTACGCTAACTGCTGGTCCCTTTTTTTTTTTTTTTTAATTTTTATTATATGTTTTAAAAATTTTGCCAGAGGGCATGTGCACTCACCAGACAAAAAAGAAGACAGAGGGAGGGAAAGTGAGAAAGCACCCCAATGGGAAATGGTCACTCCCAATCCCTTCTCCTCCATTTCTCCCTCCTTTCAGGAATGCGGGCACATATATGCATGTGCCCAGTCTGATCTTCAAGCTGCTGGGTCTGGGTCTTGAACCAGCCACCTTAACCATCATGCTGACCCACTGGCTGACCCAAAAGTAGTTCATCCTATTTGCACTCAGTCTCACCTTGAAGACACAATTGTACCACAGTTTGACAATAATTTGAAAAAAGAAGTCTATTTAACCAAAACTTTAAGACAGTTACAAAAGATATAAGTAAAAATGTAGATATATGAAAAATGGAGAGATTTATAGGAAGAACTATAACTATAAAGCTAATAGAAAGAAAAATAGAATATTAAAAGAAAACTCAATCCAAAAGGCAAAAAAAGAATAGGGCAAATTATGGACTAAATAGGATGGTAGCAGAAAATCCAATTATATTAGAGATTACATTGAATACCAATAAACTAAGTCCTAGTTAAAAGGCAAAGATTTTTCAGTCTGAATTATACTGCCACCTTAATTGTAAGTTAGGTGACCGACTGCCTATCAGTGAACCTCTTTGTGGCTGAATGTTTATCAGTGAATCTATTTGTAGATGCTCTTCTGTTTTAATTATACGTCTATCAGTGGAAATACCACCACTGTCTTTATTACTCTAACTTTCTTAGTTGTCCTAGGTCTTTTACGTTTTTATGTCATTTTAAAGCCTATCAGTCTCCCCATCCCTGCAGGGGAGGTGGGGAATACAACTGAGATTTCTGGCTGTGATGACTTAGAAGAGAATTTACATACTTACATTGTTATCTAGTCCATGAATATGATATATTACTCCACTAATTAGATCTTTACTTTTTCTTAATTTATTTTATAGTTTTCAGTATATATGCATTGCAAATTTTTAAATTTAATTTATCTTATTATTATTTTTTAGTTTGACCAGAAAGAGACAGAGGGAGGAGGTACGGGGAGAGAGAGACAAAGAGAGAAAGAGAGAGAGAAAGAGAAAGCAAGCTGCCAGGTCCGGGACTTGAACCATGGTTGATTACGTGGGAGTCCACCTCAACCACCACACCGCCTGCTGGTCCCATAAATTTTTTTTTTTTTTTTTTTATATAAGAGAGATTTTTTGCTTTAGGGCATGTATGCTCACCAAAAAGACAGAGAGACAGAAAGTGTGAAATCACCCCCTAAGAGGGATGGCCACAACAATCCACAATCCCTTCTCCATTCTCTTCTCAGGATTTTGGGCATGCACGCATGTGCCTAGCATGAATTTCAAGCTGTCAGGTCCAAAACTCAAACCATAGTTGTCCATGACGGGGTCTGGTGACATAACCATTATGCCATCTGTTAGTCCCTGCAAATTATACTGCCATTATAATATAATTACACTTCATTATATTAAAAATTTAGGGGGACCAGCAAGTGGCATGAAAGGTGCTGGACACTCCCATGTAGCCAACTACAGTTCGAGTCCTGGACCTGGTGGCTTGCTTTCTCACTTTCTCTCTGCTTGAATGAAAATATATGAATGAATAAACAAATAAAATTAAATACATAATTATAAAAAAGGAAAGAATTTAGTATTTTTTTCTTTTTTTTTTTTGGAGAGGTTTTCACTACAGAGCGCATGTGCTCACCAGACAGACAGAGAGAGACAGAGAGACAGAAAGCGAGAAATCACCCCCCAGGGAGGATGGTCACACCGCAATCCCTTCTCCTCCATTCTCCTCTCAGGATCTTGGGCATGCATGCA